ATCCTTAATATGAACAATTATGTAATTGTTATCAAACTAGTCTGAAATAGAACATTGATTCTTTTAAAATTAAAGAAAAAAAACACTTTTCAATATTTCTTGGTTTTTAATAGAAAATTACATGGTTTATTACAATTTTTATTGTCCTTTATTTTTTTAAGTAGCATCTGTTGGTTTTTCTACTTTGCCACCTTAAGACCAAAATTCACGTGAATTTATTGAGATCTTCTGCTACCGAATGTAGCTGTTATTCTCAAGAACCTAGCAGGTATCTGTTGGTCTGGATTTGCAAAACATGGGTGATGCATGACAGCCCCTTTTGATATCGCTAAGCTGCCAGAGATACGCCCCCACAACATAGAGAACATGCTTTTCTCTGCAAAAAGCTGAATACTTTGCTAACCTTGCTTTCTTCCCTTGCAAATCCAGTGCAAGAAATTATCAGAATTAATAGCATTCTCCAATGTGGAATCTCATGTAGCTGATTACTCAATGGGTGAAAAACTGGCTGGTAGGCTGGACTCAGAGAGTTGTGTTTAGTAGAGCTAAACCCACTTTGTCGGAGTTGGTTAGAAAAGGCGACCAGGCAGCTCAGCGTGGGGTCGACAAAGCTGAATCAAACTTTATTAAAATGGAGAATTTTTATAGGGATTGGGGAGGAAGGTTCAGGAATTTGGGAGGAGCATGCTAATCATCCAACCAGGATTGGGTATGGGAAAATACATAAACATAGGGAACATATACATATGTATGAAGGGGATAGACAGCAACAAGGAAAACAGTGATTGGTTGAGCTGCCGCGGCTCCACGAACTGTCCAATGACAGCTGACACCAGCTCTTGAGCACGATGACAGCTCAAGCTGCAGCTCAGGGACAACATTACACCTAAAAATCCCTTACAACACAAGTTGTTCTACCACCATAATTATGCTCTTTATGATCATAAAAACTACTTCCAACACCACTTGGTGACTGGTCTCTAGCGGTGTTCACCCAGGCTTAGTTTTGGGACCAGTCCTGTTAAACATCTTTTTTGGTGGTCTGGACATAGGGATGGCATGCATCCTCAGTAAATTGGCAGAGGACAGTAAGTTGGGTGGGAATGTTAATCTGCTTGAGGGTAGGAAGGGTCTACAGAGAGATCTGGACAGACTTGATTGGTGGGCTAAGGACAACTGCATGAGGTTCAACAATACGAAGTACTGGGTCAGCACTTGTGTCACAGCAACCCTATGCAGTGCTGGGGGAGGAGTGGCTGTTTGGCACAAAGGGACTTGGGTATGCTGATTGACAACTGGCTCAATATGAGCCAGCAGTGTGCCCAGGTGGCCAAGAAGGGCAGTGGCATCCTGACCTGTATCAGGAATAGTGTGGCCAGCAGGACTAGGGAAGTGATCATCCCCCTGTACTTGGCACTGGTGAGGCTGATTCTAGGATTCTATTCTAGGGTTCTATGATTATGAGTGGTCTTCTAGTATCTCATGTGTGCTATTTTGTTTGCTTGGATGTAGAGAGACTTTATGGGATATGGTGGAAAAAAACCCAAACCAACCACTTTATGAATTGAAATAAGCAATATCCTTGACTCAATAGCTATTTCACAATAAAGTTTTGTTGGGAACAAACCAGCCAAAGTCTGGTACAGCTGAGATCACAATCCATGACGATAGTTTTGAAACTAACAAAATGACAGGACAGAACGCATTCATCTACATATCTTAAAAGGACACACTTGTCAAAGACTACTGCTTCACTTCATTTAGAACAGGAAAACACTGGAGAAATGCAGTTTCTAAGTTTACTGATAAAAACTGCAACCAAGTTCCAATTAATTTGTTGTTTGCCTCTGAAAATGATGGAAAAGCTGTTTTAGATGTGCCTTAAATATTCTTGGTCTGATGCTCACAAGAATAGGCAGAAGTTGATTATTTTTCTCTGATTTGTGATTTTGTGCATTTTTGTGCAGTACGGGTTCAGCTGGACAGGATGTTTGGAAAAGAAGAAAGAGAGTCAAAAAAACCTGCTGTACTTCCTTTCAGAGTTAATGCAGGTAAAGTCATGTCTGCTTTCAAAAGAATCTCCCTACAAGGGGATTTCTGACTCCTAGTTTCAAAGCTGATGCTGTCTTGACAAACGTGAGGTTAATAACCCCAAATCAT